ACCTCCAGTCGCGGTATCCCCACCCCACCCCACCCCCACTCCCTGTGCCTGCACCGCCGTCCCGCTCAATGCCTGGCTTAGCGGGTGTCTCTCTCCCTCATCGTCTCGCTATCTCCCTCTACTCTCCATCTCTCAACCGCGCTGTCTCTGTCTGTCCCAGTCCTCTCTCAGAGTGTCCCCCTGCGCCTCCGTCTCGCTCTGCCTGATTCTCGCACCGAACTTGGTGCGTCTGCCTCACCTGTTCTCTGTCCACCTGCCTGTCCCTGACATCTGCCGGTCTCTCTTACTGCCCCTCAACCCCCCAGGCTCCGACCCAACTCAACTAGTCTATACCTCTTCCGCAGTTCAACAACAGCCTTCAACTCCCGCTTCTTCAGTTCCCCAGGCGCCAGGGGAACCCACCAGGTCTGAGACCAGGCGCGAGTCCCTCCCACCCTCCTAGACCCCAAATTCGTCCCGTCCTGCCCAGAGGGGTCCACTCACCCGAAGGCGGGGACGCCACACTCTGGAGTATAACTCACCTCTGTCAGGTTTGAAATCGGAGAGGAACTGTCTGGCCACGAGTTCGTGGTAAGCAGTCTCTTGCAGCTTTAGACGCTCCAGCTCGGAGAGGCTGTGTATGGATACCATCTTCGTCCTGCGATCAGGGTTGTGTCCTGGGGCTCCTCCCAGGACGCTCACTAAAAAAATAAAGGCAGACAACAACAGCAAAGGGGGCATGATTCTGGGGCACAGTGCCCTTGCTCCCTTCAGAAAAGGAATGCAGCCACCCATTCTGGAATCGGATGATTATCAAGACTGCATCATCCAATTGTCACTGGACCTGGTGGAGGGAACTATGGGGGGGCAGAGGGGGAGGGAAAACTGGGAGGCGGCTTCACCCTCAAGCACAGCAGCCTCTGGTTGCTTATTTAAAAAAAAAAAAAAGTTAAAAAAAACCAGCCCTGAACAGACAGTCCAGAAAAGAGAAAACCTAATTAGCAAAAAAAAAAAAAGGTAGAAAAAAAGAAAAACAATTTTTTTAAAAAAGCTCTTTGGACAATAATAAGATAGTATTTTCCCTTAATTAATTACAGCATTGTTAGAGTTTATTTTTATTTTGTTCATGATGATACTCAATGCTGTCCAGGTTGGGTAAAAAGGAGACTCTCATCTAGGTTAAGAGCATTGTAAATGTATACAACTCTTCAAGAAAACAAACTGAACACATGGACCTGGTACCAAAAATTGTCCCCAGGCCCTTTAACCCAATAATTCCCCTTCTAGGAATCTGTCCTAATGAAATCTTCTCACAGTCAGAAAAAATCATATAAACATGAATCATAACAGTAAAAAAAAAAAAACAAAAGAAAGAAAGAAAGAAAAACTAGTCCAGCAATAATACTAGTTATATAAATTAGGTAATGATCACAGTATAGAAAAGTATGCAATTATAAAAGTGATGTTTACAAAGAGCTTTTGAATAACAAATACAGAATTGTATTAATTATGATTACAACTCTATGAAGAAAAACATGCATACAATTAAAAAACTGAAGGAAATGTACCCAAATGTTAACAATATCTGTATTAAGGGGTGACATTTTGTTTGCCTTTTGCTCTTTCTAGACTTTCCAAAAATTATCCAACTTAAATATATTACTTTTTCATTTAAAAAAACAGTTTTTACCAAAAACAAACAAACATAACTTTTAGACTATTTCTAATGAGACTCCTTTAACAAATTTGGTGATAACAGTGGAGGTCGACTAGTGCAATGGTAAACTTGTTCTATATGTGCCTTCTCCAATGGTGCCCACTATCTCATACTGATTCCAGACTGCACAGTATCCCCCCCCAACCAAGATTCCCCTGCATAGTATACAGCATCCTTTCCTGCACATTCTCTATTACTCATTTGTTCTTTCATTCATTCATTAAAAGGAAAAAACTATTAATCACCCACTTTGTATCAGGAGCTAAAGATTCAAAAGATGAACAAGTAATAGTACTCCTATTATAAAAGTTCAGCACTACAATGACAAGTTAGCAACAATTTACAAAACCTTGTGAGAAGTCAGACTTCCAAGATATAAACAAAGTACTGTGAGAGTAGAAAGGAGAAAACATCTAAGTCTGCCTATAGATGGGGGGGAGCGGTCCAGAGAGAGAAAAAACAGCATGTGCAAAAAGGCAGAGATGGGAGAGAGGTTATCATATTCTCGAAGCTGTATAAAGGGACTGGAAAGAGATAAATCTGGATAGGCAGGAATGAGATCATGGATGGCCCTGTAAGCCATGTTAAGGAATTGGACTTTCTCCTGAAAGCAAGAGGGAACTACTGCAGGGCATTAAGCAAGGAGTGACAGTCAGAGTTGCACCTTGGAAAAATTACAGAGAACTATGAAAAACCCTGGTTTGGGAGAGAGCCTGACGTAGGTAGATCAGCCAAGAGGCAAGGGATGCCGACACAAGGGATGGATTTTATGGATGGAATTGACAAGACTTAGGGAAAATTTTAAATTGTAAGAGATGGGAAAGAATTTAGGATGGCTCCCAAGTGTTTGGTTTGGGTAAATGTGTGTATGCTGGTTCCTGATAGAGAAGAAAATTCGGGACATAGGGAGCTAAATTTTTTGACAAGAAGGGAAGCAGTTACATGTCACTTTTCTGACCTTCCCTTTCTTATAGAGTTTTACAATAATATTCTATATATTATTTGGGGGAGAGCTTAAGTCTTAAAGATCAGGAAATGTGACTTTGGCAGAGAAAAGCTAGGTAAGGGCTCACAGTGCAATAATCTAAATAAATGAGCTATATTCTCTGTCCGAAAAAGAAAAACACACACACATACATTGAAATCTTTTCAAAATTATCCTTTTCCCACTTTCCTTAATGACCAAAGTCTCAAATGTCAGAAATAGGTGCAGTATGAGAAAAGATGAGGGGTCTTCCTATGACTTTTGAACTAAGCCAACAGAAAAATCCTTAACATGGATTTTAAAGCTCCTTCAACCGCAAAATACCATCCCCTATACCCAAAGTAAGCACCCAAGCCCAACCACCAACTGCAATCACAAATTGACCATTTAACCAAAGGCACACGCATCTAGCCACAATTGCATACCAAGCCCCTAGCAATTCCCCTTTGGAGATAGCAGGTCCACAGCCTATTAGTCGATGGTCTCATCCTAACACACACAGCCTAGCTCCGGTTTAATTTTTCTAACATAACCCCCCTCTCCCTTTGCCCCAATCCAGACATTTTTTGTACCTGTCTTGGAGTTTCAGCTATTTCTTCTTATCGAGGCTTACCAGATCTGGTCGTCCACAGAGCAGAGCTGATTCTTTCACCCTCAAACAGGATGAAAATCAATCCCTTTTCTCCCCTCAAAATAAGGTAAGAACAAACAGTAAAACCTCAAATCAACAACAGCCCAAAAAGGAGAGAGAGAGACAGAGAGAGAGAGAAAAGCCTTTGAGAGATGAGTCAGCCTAGATGCTTACAATTCCGAAAGAAATCAAAGGCCTTAGAATAAACCGTTTGTCATTGCCTGCCTCCCAGCTCCAAAGTACAGGGCTAAACTTAAGAGCAGTTATATGCTGCAGTTCTACAAGTAAAATTGACACTGTCTTACTTGCCTTCAACCTTCTCCTCCAGGCACCAGTTGGATACAAATCAGAAGCAGGGCTAGGAAGTCTAGTGTGCCCACACAAGAAGTCAATGGGGGGGATGGGGAGGGGAAATGAGTAGGCAGGCTACAGCATTATGAGAGAAGCACATAACAGGTTCTTGAGATTTGAATACTCATTCCCGGGCTGATTTTTCAAGCTAAACCCAAAAGGAAGTTCCTGCCAGGAATGAGATGCCAAGGGACCTTTCTTGCTCTAAAGTGTCTTCCCCTTTCCCTTTCAGCATGCCATGACACTAGCCTGAAGATACTCAAAAGGAAAGACAAAAGCAAATCGACTCAGTTTCAGTCTAGAATTCAAAACATCTGCAAAAACACTATCTTTAGACAAATACTTGTACTGAGCACTGGAATTAGAGCCAAATAGAACTGAGTTCAAAGCCAAGATTTGTGATTTTTTAACTGTGACCTTAGGAAAGTTAGTTGAATTCTCTGAGCCTCGGTGGCCTCCTGTATAAAATGGGAAAATGACACAATATCCCTTTCAGTGGTTGTGTGAGAGTTGAATGAATAATGTATGTGTGATATTTAGCATTGGTTTTTAATCAACATGTTAATATTGAAGGTCTTTGCAGAAGGCCTGAGGTTAACCAAAAAAAAAAAAAAAAATCAGGCTTCAAAAGTAATTACATAAAATTAGAATTTGTATCAATACATTGAACAACTTACTCTGTTCAATCTCTACTAAATTGGACTTAAATTAATACATATAAAGCGATCTTAGGAGACCATTGGGAATAGATCTTTCTTCTTCACTCTTCAGTTTCATTAGGGTCAAGTATTTTAATATCATCTTATAAAATTTAGAAAAACTATCTGCATAGGTTGATATTTCAAATGTTATTATTCAGATTAATAAAATGCCTGTATGTCCCCAAATTTATTTCTCTTTCAAACCATCCAATTTTCTATTGTCACTAGCAAAAGAAGGTATAATTTCATTTGGATCAGTAAAGGGGCTAGAAAATTTGCAGATACCAAGAGGGAGAATTTGAACAAAAAGCAAACAGCCAAACCAAGTGTCCAGCAATATAAAAAGGGGAAACACACTTGGGTGGCATGAAGCCTGGGCCTCACATCTTCGCAAAATGCATGGCACAAATGAAGAAACAAATTAACGTCAGAAAGGTCACCCACTTTGACACCGTGAGGACCAAAATGCTTTCAGCTAGGCATAAATCCACAGCCTTCACAATTTGGAAGACTAATTTACTTCATTGCCCCCATCAAATTGTTAGGAATGGTGCAGTGCTCACTAGTAAACACCTATGAGAAAAGTGCAGGGAATGCACTGATGCCATAGTTTGAATCCTTATAAATTGGCACCTTATAACACCATTAGAATTTTGCTCCAAGCCTCTGAGAACTCCTTGGAGTTTAGGAAATTGGTAGTGAATGGGGCTGGGTGCCCAGAAGGTATTGCATCTATACTATTCAAATGTCTACAGGCAGTGACAATGGATAAAGATATCCCCGCTAATATATCACAGCATGGGAAAGAGATATGGGTCTCTATATGAAAACATTTGGGCACCAATTTGGTCTGCTGGCACATTAGCTCATTCGTCCCTGAGCATTAATGAGTTAGCCTTTAAGTTGTTATCCCATAACCTCCATTTCAGCAAAGACTGCAGATGCAATGAACAAAATGGCTCATTTTATCCAATGCAGTGGTGATGACCCAAGATAACTAAATCTGGGGACAATATTCATCAATATGTTGAGTCAACCCATCATGTCATAGCAGAAGCTCATAAACTGGAGGCAGTACTATTATTGTTAAAATATATTGAGAAAAGCCCTGGCTTCAAAAAAATGTTTTTGGAAGTATTTAGAACATTAGAATGGTTCAGAAATAGAAAGGACCTTAACCATCACCTAATCTCAAACCTCCATTTCATAGTTCAGAAAACACAGGCTCAGAGAGGGACAAAGAGTTTTCCCAAGACCACACAGCAATTTAACAACAGAGTTTGCAGGAGAGCTCAGTTCTCCTAAGTCTCAGGGCT